AGTTACGTGCCGTTGATATAGTTGACAGGATGGACAATATCTTGTCTGGTAATGGAACAAACCCATTATCTGCCTCAGTGCAGGAGGCAATGATATTGGCGGTGGAGCGAGGAGCTTGATAAGTTCAAGGCAGCTATAGATCGATAAGACTAAGGGAGGGATCCCTATCATGTGCAGTGTCCTGCCTAGGGAGAGTTGGCAGAATGGTTGCTGGAGGGTAGTTGGTGTCAACACCGCCTTTGGACAGATATTGCAAGTCAATATCAGTCCCATTCATTGACAACTGGGGCAACTCTACGCAGAAGGGACCTTTATGCTAGGGATAGGGTGCACCTGTCCAGGGATGGAGTGGCACCCTGGCTGGGGCTCTAGAGGGGTAGTGCAAAAGATATTGAAGTCTTTAAACTGCTAGGAGAACATACAGGTGAGCACCGGGTGAGGAGACTGCAGGAGCGGGTAAACAAAGTGAAAGATTACGAAATAGTGTTAGGAATGATGACAAAACTAAATTAGACAGGAGTTTAAAACTAAACGCGTAAGGAGGACTCAGAACACTACTAATCCTAATGTATACTCACGTAACAGTAGAAGTATGAGAAACAAAATGGATGATATTAGGGCCTTGGTATGTATCAAGAAATCGATATAATAGCATTCACTGAAACATGGATTAATCTAGACTCACGTGAGTTACCGGGCTAATACCAAATTGTGTACTAAACTGATCCATACCTATAGCAGACCAGGAAAAGAGACGGATTAGCAATCTATTTTAGGATAATCTGAAGTGTGAAATAAATAAGGAAATAAAAACTGAGCGAATACAGAAACAAGGATAGAATTAATCGACGGTAGGAAAAATTAATCACAGGAGTAATATATAGACCTCCCAATCTTGATAGGTAAATAGTGACTTATCTGTGATGAAATACGCAGGGCTTCCATACACAACAAAGTCTGTATAGTAGGACTTTAACTTTAGCCAAATAGATTGGATTGACCTCATGGAACTCAGAATCAGAGGATTTTCTGAGACGATCCAGGACTGTTTTTCAAGTCAACATATAACCGAACCCACCCGGGTAATAATATACTTGATTTAGTTCTGTCAACAGAGAAAACCCTCATTAGCAATGTCGAGGTAGGAAAACGAACTTGCAAACAGCGATCACAAAGAAATTAGATTCCAGTTAGATTTTCAGGGCAGATGTAAGGAAAATTCCACTAAAGTACCAGATTTCAGAAAGGCAAACTTACAGTTTAAAGAGGCAGCTGAGAGAGGGATGTCGCGCTTGGCTGGA